TTGTCTTTCTCTGATTGACTTATTTCATTTAGCATAATACTCTCTAGTTCAATCCACGTTGTTGCAAATGGCAAGGTTTCATTTTTTTTAGATGGCTGAGTAATATTCCATTGTATATATATTCCATATCTTCTTTATCCATTCATCTGTTGATGGACATCTGGACTCTTTCCATAGTTTTCCTATTGTGGACATTGCTGCTATAAACACGGGGGTGCAGGTGCCCTTTTGGATCACTACATTTGTATCTTTGGGGTAAATCCCTGGTAGTGCAGTTGCTGGGTCATAGGGTAGCTCTGTTTTCAACTTTTTGAGGAACCTCCATACTATTTTTTAGAGTGGCTGCACCAGCTTGCATTCCCACCAACAGTGTAGGAGGGTTCCCCTTTCTCCGCATCCCCGCCAACATCTCTTATTTCCTAACTTGTTAATTTTAGCCATTCTGACTGATGTGAGGTGGTATCTCATTGTAGTTTTGATTTGTATTTCCCTGATGCCAAATGATGTGGCACTTTTTCATGCCATGATTCATGGTTTATGGCAACCCTGAGCTGAAAGCCCACTCCTGGGCTAGCTGATTATAGCCTGCTTCCCCGCTCCGATACCTGGAAACTCTGCTGCACTCAGGCACCCCCGGTCTTCCTGTGACCCCGGGGATCCTGAGACCACACTGTCCCACCTAGGATTCCACCTTGCTTCGCCACCTGGGTGCCCTCACCAGAGCAGACTTCTAAAAGTTCTGATTTTGTGCTCTGCTGCTGTATCACTTTCTGGTGCCGGCTGATGGAGTCTTCCTTCTCCCATGGTTTATCTTCCTATATATCTCCTTAGATTCAATTCTTCACACCTCCTGCCTCACAGAAAGTGGTCGCTTTTCTATTTGTAGAATTGCAGCAATTCTTTTCTTAGAGCTCCAGTCAAGTTCACAGGTGTATGGAATGATTTGATAGCTATCTAGCTGAATTCCAGGGACCAGACCAAACTAAGGTCTCCTACTCCTCCGCCATCTGGAAAGTCCTCTGTGTTAGCAATTCTTAAAGCACACTAGATTATCTGTAATCTTTGCATGTCCTCGTGCTTTCTATTTGGAATGCCCTTTCTGCCTTGGCCACCTTTTGAATAAGCAAGCATTCTTTCTCATGCTTTATATCTCTATTCATGTATCACCACAAAGTTAACTCTTTCCTAATTTCCCGTTCTCTTTCTGATAATAACCATCCGAATAGCTGTGAAGATTTCCTTCTTTTTTAAGGGTGAATAGTATTCCAGTATGTGTGTGTGTGTGTGTGTGTTTGTATCTTTAGTACACTTTGTTTACCCATTCATCTGTCAACAGATAGTTAAGTTGCTTCCACCTTTTGGCTATTGTGAATAATGCTGCAGTGAACATGGGAGTGCAGATGTCTCTTCAAGGTCCTGATTTCAATTCCTTTGGATATATATCCAGAATTGGGATTGCAGGATCATAAAGTAATTCTATGTTTAATTTCTTGAGGAACCTCCATACTGTTTTCTATAGTGGCTGCATCAGTTTACACTCCCCTCAACAGTGCTCAGGAGTTCTTTTCTCCACAGCCTCACCAGCACTTATATTTCTTATCTTTCTGGTAATAATCATCCAGATAGCTGTGAGGTGATATATCGTTGTGGTTTTGATTTACATTTCCCTGATGATTAGTCATATTGAGTACTTTTTCATGTATTTGCTGGCCATTTTTATGTCTTCTTTGAAGAAATGTCTGTTTAGTTCCTTTGCCTATTTCTTAATCAGATTATTTGTGTTTTTTTGCTATTGAGTTGTAGGGGTTCCTTAAATATTTTAGATATTCTTATCAGATAAATGGCTTGTGAATACTTTCTCATAATTTGTAGGTTGCCTTTTAATTTTGTTGTTAACTGGGTAGAAGCTTTTGGTTTGATGTCATCCCATTTGTCTATTTTTACTTATGTTGTCTGTGCTTTTGTTGTCTTTGTGAAACCTGTGGATTTTTGTCTGATGAAAATGTATGTCTTTGTTGAAGAACCCTGTTATTTACCTGTCATCTGTTTAAAGATACATGAAACTCATCAGACTGGGAGAATAGAGTACTTTGGGAGAAAATGCTTTGTCTTTATCAAATGGAGTCTTTAAAATATAACAATTATAAGTAACAACAGCAAATGTGAAAACATTTAAAACTGACTACATAGTACTTCTGTTTTTGGGGTTACACACAAATATTAATCAGATATAGTGTAATTCCTTTGTTAAATATATAGGCACATAGTTTTTAGTTAGATAAGATATGCATAATATTTATAATATTATTTACCAGAATATTTTTCAAGCTCTCTATTGTAAGGGGTATTTATTTGTAAGGGGTATTTTTACTTGGACACCAGAAGTACAAGTACATTTTGAAAGTATAAATAATACTAGCCAAACAACCAATTTATTTACTTAAATTATTGTTTAATATACTTTTGTGTTAATAGGCCATATACTCATTTTTTAAAAAAAAAGATGTGGTGTGGGAAATAAATCCATTGCTGTTGAGATCATTATACCTTTCTTTGGGTAATATAAAAACATATAAGTACTGATAAATATTATGACCTATTAAAGGCTAAAAGTAGCTAGTAATCCTGCCTATGCTCTTTTAAATACCCTTTTTTTAATCTTCTCTAAGGCAATTGACATACATTCACAAGAAGTGCCATAGTGAACCTGATGGACCTGGGATAGCAGCATTGACTAGTGAGGAGCGAACTCAATGGGCTAAGGTTATATGGTTTTCTTTTGTTGTCGTTGTTTTAAGATTTTATCTATTTTTTAGAGAGAGAAAGAGAGCATGAGTAGGTGGAGGGGCAGGAGAGGGAGAGAGAGCATCTCAAGCCGACTCCACACAGAGCCCGATACGGGGATCAATCCCATGACCCTGAGATCATGACGTGAGCCGAAATCAAGGGTTGGACACTCAACCAACTGAGCCACCCAAGCGCCCCTCTTTGTTTTTTTAATTGAGGTATACTTGACATAAAATTATATTAGTTTCGGGTGTACAGCATAATGATTAGATATTTGTATATATATATATATATTACAGAATGATTACAATAAATCTGGTTAACATCCATCATTTCATATGATTACAAATTTTTTTCTTGTGATGAGAACTTTTAAGATGTATTTTAGGGGCACCTGGGTGGCTCAGGTCATGATCCCAGGGTTCTGGGATTGAGCCGCACGTGGGGCTCCCTGCTCAGAGCAGTGGGGAGTCTGCTTCCACCTCTCCCTCTGTCCCTCCCCTGGCTCGTGCTCTCTCTCTCGCTCACTCTCCCTCAAATAAATAAATAAGTAAATCTTTTTAAAAAAGATGTATTCTATTAACAATTTTCAAATATGCAATACAACATTATTAACTTTAAAGGTATCCGCCACGTTTTGTAAGTTTGTGTTATGCCACTTCACTTTTCACAAAGGACCTACATTAGTACTTGTTTTTGCTCATTGAAAGAAACCCAAAGAGGATTTTTGCTTTTATGAAAAAAGGCAAAAAGCAAAAATAGTGTTCAGCATCTTTTTTTTTTACTGCATGCTCCCTGAGCAGCAAGGGTGGCAGCACCAAGCTCCTTCCCCAGGAGCTACCCTCAGTATCTCAGCATCAAGCTTTGAACATCTGTGCCTATGAACATCTGTGCTGTATCTCACTTATTTGTACATCCTCTACCAAAATGTGTCCTATGTTATCAGTAAAGCCTCTAAGAGAGGTTATTTTTTGGGCCCGGGAATGTTCAAACATTTTTCCATATAAATTAATAGTAATTGCTTCTTTGCTTTATACCATTTTGACTTAGGAATGCTCTACACTTTCCTTAATGAACCTTTTCCCTAATGAACTATTTTGAGATTTTCTAGATATACTTAATTTGTAACATTTAATCATTAACTCTTTGCCCATTAGGCACGAGAATATTTGATTAGTCTTGATCCAGAGAACTTGACTATATTAGAAAAAATTCAGAGCAGTTTACTGGTATATACCATAGAGGATAGCAGTCCACATGTAACACCAGAAGATTATTCTCAGGTACGTAACTATCTTGCTCTGCTGTTTCTCCTCACAAATTATTCTGGAAGACTCTTCTGTATACAGAAGATGAGAAGATTATTTGTTACATGCAGTCTCTTAAAATTTTTTCATAGCTGTCATATATATGTACCAAATTGAAGCTTATACATAAATAATCCTTCGTAAATTCTGGCATCATTGTTTAGGTAATTTAGATATATCTTGAACATTGTTTAAAGAAGTATGACTGTTGTTTGCATGTACAGAAAATTTGCATAGGACACTGGGCTAAATGAACTTACCATGCCAAAGGTGGCATGAGAACCTTCCTGTAACCCACACCAGTGTGTCTTGACACCTTGGTTGATGGGGTTGGTCCTAAGAATTATAGCACTCTTATAAGTTATTTATTTTAGCGTTTAGTTTTATTGACAAACAGACTTTAGTGAGTTTAAGAGTAAATGTGGCCTTACTTTGTTTCCCCTCCCCCACCCACCCTGGGTAATATTATCATTTCCTGGGAAATAATAAAAGGTAGTATTCATATTTGTAGAAGTCACTTAGTCTTTTGAAAACACTTATATTATTTCATAATTCATTCATCAATATTAAATGAAAGAAATAATACAGGATTGAAAAATCTTGTAGGTAGAAATAACTTTCCTTTATATAACCTTAGCTGTATTTTTTAGTAGGAGAGTTACCAAACTTCTTGAGGAAGAATATATTCTAATGTAGTGTTGTTTGAACTTTTACTGCTAGAATCTAGTTAGACTTGTGTTTAGATTGCAGCCCACTACATACATATACACACGTAACAGAAGTTTCACAAAATAGTAATTACTTATAGTATCTGTGGTAGATTCTAATATTTGTATTCTCTTTTGTCCTTTCTTTTGTAATGAATGTTTACTGTGATATACTAAATTGAGTGTGTGAGAAACAGGCTTAGTGGGATATGAATTCTTAAGATATTTTAATAATATTTAATATTAAAATATTATTAAACCAAAGTAAAATATTATTAAATATTATTAAAATATTTTCTTCATAAGTAGACTCTAATGACTAAACTTACCACAGCTTCTTAGACTATTCAAGTTGCAAAAGCTTTGTCTTTTCCTTTGTAAGTTCTCTAAACCCCCATGACTATTGAACCAGCTTTCTGTTTTCTGGTAGGATTTCTTGAGATTTTGAGAAATATTTAAAGACATGGCTGGAATTAGTATTATCTCTTGAGTATAATTATTATCATTTTATTAAGTTTGGCTTACCTGAAGAGGAAAAGTGACGCGCGTGTGTGTGTGTGTACATTTATATAATATATATATACATACACATACATATAAGATATAAATAGTTATAACCCTCTTAATATTAAAATTCTCTTAATTTTAAAATATTTATTTTAGGTAACCACAATGACCCTTACAGGAGATCCAACTGTACGCTGGGGAGACAAATCTTATAACTTGATTTCCTTTTCCAATGGAGTATTTGGCTGTAGTTGTGATGTAAGTAAACTTAGTGAATTTATTTTTCCTTTCAATTGTTTAGGTTAATTTAGTGGCAATAAACTAGCTAGGCTGTTCTGTGGTCATATAAATACATACTTTTGTAGCTCTGTGGCATTATAACTAAAAGGTTTTAGTTAATGAATTCTCAGTGAAAACAGAGTATAGGACAAGTTATTTTCATTTGTAGTATGGCTAATAGTTTGGTATGTATCTGCAAAGTGGAATTTGCATGTATTTTATGTAGTTATGGATTTTAAAGAATTATGAAGCTCTTTAAAATGCACTGTTACCTGTTTATTGAGAATTACAACCTATTTTTTTTTTTTGAAGATTTTATTTATTTTTGCGAGAGAGAGAGAGGGAGAAGACGGGAGGGAACATGAGTCGGGGGGCGGGGTGCAGAGGGAGAAGCAGACTCCCCACTGAGCAGGGAGCCCAATGCAGGACTCCATCCCAGGACCCTGGAATTGTGACCTGAGCTAAAGGCAGATGCTTAGCCGACTGAGCCACCCAGGTGCCTGAATTACAACCTACTTTAAAAGATACAGCATTATGTCTGTGTTCTTTGCACAGAGAAGTATATGTGGATATATTTCTAGATTTTCCCAGTAATTTAACTATTTTCCTAAAATGGCACGTG